AACAACCCAGCATTTTTTAGAGTGTTGACTGACACGTTATATATATATATATATATATATATATATATATATATATATATATATATTATACATAGAAAATGTTGGGGTAACACTTTATTTTACAGTATCCTTGTTACATATGTCAAATGTACTTACCATAGTAATAACAGTAAAGTATGCATAATTACTTGCAACTAACCCTCAACCCAAACCCTAACCCTATAGTAAGTACATGTACTTGCTTAATATTACTCAGTAGCAACTTAAATATATAATTACGTTGTAACAATGACACCTTAAAATAAAGTGTTACCCCAAAATGTAATTTTTTATGTATAATATACACTCACCGGCCACTTTATTAGGTACCCCATGCTAGTAACGGGTTGGACCCCCTTTTGCCTTCAGAACTGCCTCAATTCTTCGTGGCATAGATTCAACAAGGTGCTGGAAGCATTCCTCAGGGAGTTTGGTCCATATTGACATGATGGCATCACACAGTTGCCGCAGATTTGTCGGCTGCACATCCATGATGCGAATCTCCCGTTCCACCACATCCCAAAGATGCTCTATTGGGTTGAGATCTGGTGACTGTGGAGGCCATTTTAGTACAGTGAACTCATTGTCATGTTCAAGAAACCAATTTGAAATGATTAGAGCTTTGTGACATGGTGGAAGTAGCCATCAGAGGATGGGTACATGGTGGCCATAAAGGGATGGACATGGTCAGAAACAATGCTCAGGTAGGCCGTGGCATTTAAACGATGCCCAATTGGCACTAAGGGGCCTAAAGTGTGCCAGGAAAACATCCCCCACACCATTACACCACCACCACCAGCCTGCACAGTGGTAACAAGGCATGATGGTTCCATGTTCTCATTCTGTTTACGCCAAATTCTGACTCTAACATCTGAATGTCTCAACAGAAATCGAGACTCATCAGACCAGGCAACATTTTTCCAGTCTTCAACTGTCCAATTTTGGTGAGCTCTTGCAAAGTGTAGCCTCTTTTTCCTATTTGTAGTGGAGATGAGTGGTACCCGGTGGAGTCTTCTGCTGTTGTAGCCCATCCGCCTCAAGGTTGTGCGTGTTGTGGCTTCACAAATGCTTTGCTGCATACCTCGGTTGTAACGAGTGGTTATTTCAGTCACTGTTGCCCTTCTATCAGCTCGAACCAGTCTGGCCATTCTCCTCTGACCTCTGGCATCAACAAGGCATTTCCGCCCACAGAACTGCCGCTCACTGGATGTTTTTTCTTTTTCGGACCATTCTCTGTAAACCCTAGAGATGGTTGTGCGTGAAAATCCCAGTAGATTAGCAGTTTCTGAAATACTCAGACCAGCCCTTCTGGCACCAACAATCATGCCACGTTCAAAGTCACTCAAATCACCTTTCTTCCCCATACTGATGCTCGGTTTGAACTGCAGGAGATTGTCTTGACCATGTCTACATGCCTAAATGCACTGAGTTGCCGCCATGTGATTGGCTGCTTAGAAATTAAGTGTTAACGAGCAGTTGGACAGGTGTACCTAATAAAGTGGCCGGTGAGTGTATATATATATAACGTGTCAGTCAAAGCCACTTCTGTCCTGATGAGACCACGGTGACTTTAAAGATAGTTCAGTCATTTCTCAAAGCCTCTAAGTGCACTTTAGACAATGCTGGGTTGTTTTAAAGGAGCTGTATGTAAGATTGTGGCCAAAACTGGTACTGCAATCACTTTCAAATTACTGTAGAGTGGTGTATCCCCTCCCCCTCCCCCCTGACTCAAGGTTGCCAGATAGGCTGCAGGATCCAGCAGGAACGTGTAGCTGCAGCTGTGGTAACTAGAGCAGAGCTGGCAACCCGGATGCCGCAACACTACTGACTTCGTGATTGGTAGATAGGTGGAGGGTGGAGCATCAGACCAAAACACAACATGACAACATCAACATCAGTTGAGGGCTGCAACTCCACTTTTTAAATGACAATATCCTGGCCGGACAACTGTTGTCAGTGATATAAGTATTTGAAATGTACATGATTTCTTAATGTCTAGTGATATATCAGGGCCATTTTATGATTAATTGAAATACATTTCTTACATACAGCTCCTTTAACCCAAATGTGGGTCAAATATGAACAAACCCAAATGTTGGGTTAAAAAAGTGTAATTAAAAATTTTAGCCCAACTTCAACTTTCACTTTCAACTGTACATTTTTTTATTACATTTTTAACCCAACATTTGGGTTTGTCCATATTTGACCCACATTTGGGTTAAAACAACCCAGCATTTTTTAGAGTGTGTCCAGACATCAGGCTTAGATTCAGCTGAAACGAGCCCGTGTAAAACACAGACGTATGGAAATAAACGCAGACGTCTGACAGTGAAAGCACGTCTGCTCAGTGGTGCGTATAAGAAGCCCTTAGCTTGAACCCAGCGTCGTGTCAATCTCTCGTGTTAACACACTAACCCCAAGAACACACCCTCGCTTCATTCATCAGAGATGTTAAGATATTAAATATGCATGGGTTTCTGGCGCCAGCATCCCAGTGGTCACATGTGTAAACACTTCATAAACTCTTAGAAGAAAAGGTCATGTCGGGCAATTCATATATAGAACATTTTAGGGGTTTTGCTTTAATTAATTAATTTGAATTAAACAAGTATTCTGCAATCATTTAAGACATTTCTCCTTATGTACAACCTTCTTCTTTAAAATTGGGTCAAGAAACTTACACTCTATAAAATGCTGGGTTGTTTCACCCCAACTTTGGGTCAAATGTGGGTTAATTTTTAATTACATTTTTAACCCAACGTTTGGGTTTGTCTGTATTTGACCCAAAATTGGGTTAAAACAACCCAGCACTTTTAGAGTGTATATAGAACATTGAACAGTTTTTTTTTCTTTCGTAGAGCGTTTAGATGTTGTGTTGCAGTGATTCTCAGTGTGCAAGAATGAATTCTTCTTATTAACATTGAGCACGCCTGTGTCCTCATCGCAGCAGACCCGAGACACACTGCTGTGTCGTACAGTATGTTATCGTTTTGGAGGCGTCGTGGCACATATGTACAGTCCTGATGTCTGCTTACACTATATTTGAGAGGGACTTTAATCATGGACGGCAACAGCACAGTTTCATTTATTGAATTACCTTGAAAAGCATACTTTTCTCCTCAAATGAGTTTTCTTGATCATGAAATGTAAAACAGAAAGGGTGAAACAGTTTGCGGTACTGCATATAATAAGGCTTTCAAATGACAGTTATTCATCTAATTTAATTGAAGTGGCTCGATTTACTGTATCCATACATTTGGTTGTTCATTTGTCATTTTGCATTATGAGAACTTTAATTTGAACGGAATAAGAAATAATGAAACATCTGTTTATCTTCTTACAGTGACTCAGCTGTCTGTTCGTGATCCGCACTGCACTGATATTTGTGCAGTTTTTTCAATAACTTATTAATGATGTCTGAAACCATGTCACACTCATCGATACGTCCTCGTTTATCAACATCAGAAGTTTTATTATGTTCGTCACTCCATGGTCACCGTTTGAGTGGAATGGTGTATGCGTTCGATTGAAAACAAAAGTGATAACTAAAGGCTTTTAGTGTTATCACATTCTTAACCATTCTGGGTTAAAACAATAAAGGGTCGCAACAGATGATAAACAAAAAAAAAATGTTCTCAGTCAGATTAAGTTATACAACACCACGGTGAAAAACTGATGTCTTTTCATGGTCTTAATGAAACCCAACGATTGTAACTTTGACATATTTTTGTTCAACGTTTTTTGCGGGCGTTTTATATTAAAACTTCAGTTTATGTTAGCTTTTCAGTACATTATAGTTTTTTGCTCTATATTCCAAGTCATTCGGTCGCTTGATGTGAGGAGTTATTTAATTAAAGTTCAGGGAAACGTCTCAGGTTACTGTAAGCGTTGTATCTGATGTCGATGCAATGGGGAACGCCTCAGCGGGACTGTGTCGTACACCCCCGTTAATGTGTTAATGTACAATATTATTTTTAAGGATGTTTAGAAATCTTTTTAGTGCATATGATATTTTATTAAAACAACTTAAGGTTGTGCATCATCAGAACTCCTTTTTAAAATCAATTTAAAGAAGTAATTTTGAAGATTATGAACTTTTAAGGAAAAATAAACTTATCTGTTTTACAATAAAAATACGTGTCTAACAGTTTACATTTTCTGTTTTACATGTTCTGTTTTACTAGCTCTTTTTGGGAATAAAGCCCACAGTTATGGATTGCATATTAATGTGTTCTCCCTTTTCTTTTGCAGCACTATGGAGGAGTTGAAAATAAAGTCAAGCCAAGTAAGCCCAAACTTCATATTTTTGATGTTCGTTGAACCGCTGACGAACCGCTGTGTTTAACATTAACAGAACTGCTAACTGCTGTTTGCATTGAGTTATGCATTAGCTTACACTCTCGAAAAGATGCGCATATACAACCTTTCAGGGCTTCCCATCATGGCGTTTATGGATTTAGTTTTAATTCAATAATTTAAAATTTACATTTATTTAAAAAAAAATGCATTTTTATGAATTAAACGGCTCATAAACATACTTTAAAGACTCTATACACTCTAAACAATGCTGGGTTGTTTCAACCCAAATTTGGGTCAAATATGGACAAACCCAAATGTTGGGTTAAAAATGTAATTTAAAATTTTAACCCAACTTCAACTTTCACTTTCAACTGTACATTTTTAACCCAACATTTGGGTTTGTCCATATTTGACCCAAATTTGGGTTGAAACAACCCAGCATTTTTTAGAGTGTACTTATACATACTTTAACTTTTCTTCTATACATACTGTAAGGGTTCTTTATAATTGAGCCCCGAACCATTATAGATGAATCCCACTGAACCCTTTTTCCAAGAGTTTGGGGTGTTTTAGGTGAATTCAACTTCGGGTGTTTTGTGGCATTGTCCCTTGGGAAAACCAAAGCATACTTTGGGCTTTAGGGATCTAAATAGGGACAGAAGTGTTAATCTTCTATTATGTGGAGATTTATAGGGGTTTCTGTTATGTTTCAGTTTTACTGGGTGACCATTGTGGTGAAGAGTAGAGCCTGTGGTTAGGATGGGCTAGAAACTTTAAGATTCAAATTATACCTTAAAGCTTATATTATTAAACCTTACCTTATAATTATATACTGCATGTTGGTCAACAGTGTATGTGAGTGTGTAGTGATAGTCTCATTGTTAGTTAGATTAATTCATTTCTTTTGGTTTGTCAGTTTTCTCCAACTTGTGCGGGTTTGCTGTGTGTTGAGTGCATTCGATGGGCTGTTGTGTGTCTCTGCTTGTATAGCAGTAATGATTTGTTTTCTGTATTGATTGTAGAGCATGCTTTGACATTGCCAAATCAGAAATAACCTTTGCACATCATTGTGGCCATTTAATGTGAATGCAATGATGGTTTGAGAGATACCATAGCTAGCAAACTAATATCTAACATGTTTCCATCCTTGTAAAAAGACTGTAATTGTATTGAATGTGCACTTAGTGTATACTTTAAATCTTTATCCTATTTATATTTTTTAACTCTACTTGCAGATAAACTTACGTGTACACTTTCATGACTATATATACACACTTTTAAAAAGTAAACTAAAATGTAATTTTTTAAAAATAATTATGTTTTTGTCAATAATCTTTTGTCATGCTTTAAAGAAATGCTCTTAATTTGATGTGTTGACTTACACACTAAAGCACATGTAAAGTACTTGAATTAAAGTAGTAAATCACAAAGTCATTACAAATATATTTAAATACATGACATGTGAGTTTCAATGGAAGTGGAATTTAACTACATTTGAGTTTACCATAAATGTTTGTCAGAACATTCATCAGTACGCTTTAACCTTATTTCAAAGACTATGAAATTTCATATAAAGATACTTAGTGGCTCAAAAAACACTAAATATACATTTAAACAATGATTACGTCTTTTTCACAAGGCCAGGTTTTATGGCGATGGGTGTTTTTATGCAGGCATTAATCAAACGCAGTCTCTAACTTCAACATTAACATGAGACATTGTACAGTTTGTGAGTAAATGAGTGAGTGAGGGCGAGTAAATAACGCTTAAAGACTAAATCATCCCTTTAGTGTCTCGTTTCGTTCGCAAGGCGACGTTAAAGAAGCTGCTTTGAATCTTTTAGTGTGTTGATTCGTATTTGAGCTGCATTTGCAAAGGAAAGTCTTACTTTTATGGATTTACACCTTGTAAAATGTATGGCAGATCAAAAGCGTAACAAAAATCATTCTGAGGAAAAGTTCCCCATCCTTTGTGGTCGACAGCCTCTCCAGAGTGTCAGAAATATGCGAATGAGATGCTGATTTCCCCATAGGGACTAATTATTCCCTGGCTTCGGACTAAACTTAACAAAACATGCAATGGCACGTTTGATTTCTCTTCTTCCCCTCTGTTATCTCAGTTCCCCTCTCTTCCAGCGAGTCCTCTTTGTTGTCATGTGTGTGTGAGTTTGGCTTGGAAACGCTGACATTAATCAGACTGCCCCAGTTTCTGAACGCCAACCACCCAGACACTTGAGTGGATGACCAAACGATAACAGGGCAGGCTGACAGCCTTTTGCCTTCCACACAAATCATAAATAAATCACATGCCGCCGGCAGCCTGCCGAAAAGGTCACTCAAGAAGAAAGACGTGCGAGAAAGACCCCTTTCGTGGCAGAAACAATGCACAATCAGATCGCATCCGAACCGCCAGGATTCATTAGCCTGAAATCACAACCAGAGGTTTGTTTCTGCTGAGATTTACATGATACCACCAGGCAGAGCCCATCGAGTTGCTTGGTTTCTACACTAATTGGAAGGGATTCGATAAGGCGCGGCAGCTCGCCCGGCTCTGGGTCACGGCTGTCGGTAATGGATTGAAGGTTTCGGATGGTTTTGTTAGTCTCAGTCCCCAGCCCTGAACTAATAAAGCAATCACTTCGGTCATATCCACATTACAGCATAACTCGTGACGAAACGCCTCCGTAACGTACTGATGTACACCAGCTGCCATCGGCCCTGCGTTACCAGTGTTATAAAGGACACACACACACACACACTTCAGTTTAATCAGTTTTCAATTCATAGTTTTCAATCACGTGACTGTTGAAGAGTTCTATCAGTTAAATTGCCTATCAATTTTCCATCTCAAACACACAAGTATGTGAAGAACATGCAAGTTTTGGGCAGTTGTGATATACAGGTGAAACTCGGGAAATTTGAAAATCGTGCAAAAGTTCATTTATTTCAGTAATTCAACTTAAAAGGTGAAACTAATATTTTATATAGACTCATTACATGCAAAGTGAGATATTTCAAGCCTTTATTTGTTATAATTGTGATGATTATGGCTTACAGCTTATGAAAACCCCAAATTCAAAATTAGAATATTGTGAAAAGGTTTTCATATCTGTACACCATAATCATCACAATTATAACAAATAAAGGCTTGAAATATCTCACTTTGCATGTAATGAGTCTATATAATATATTAGTTTCACCTTTTAAGTTGAATTACTGAAATAAATGAACTTTTGCACAATTTTCGAATTTTTCCAGTTTCACCTGTAACCCGATCTCATGAAACGCGTCTCTATAGCATGCATTATATTTATCGTGCGATTTATGTGCAAGTTTTTACGTGCACTGTTTATATGATATCTGTAAACCCGTAGGATTAGCAGTGTGGGGTACGTGCGTATTACACGCCATAAAGTGTATCATATGCACGTAAAAACTAAAATGGTCCAGAGTAAAAGGGGTTAATTTGTATTTATTCATTTGTTACATTAGTACATCAATGTAAATGTAAGGTTTTTTAATTAGAGTTAACAATCTCACAGGCTGCGCTGGCTTTAGCTTTATTCCAGAAACAGCCGCTGAACCTCTTCACATTCAGAGCGACACACAGATATTACTGTGCAGTATCAGTCATACGTCACTGTCAGATTACTGCAGAATAACTCTCCAGAGGAGTGTAATTATATTATTCCTAGGTCCAATAAAGTTTTCACGGCTCGCAGTCCATAAAATTCAGAAACCAAAATCAGCAGGCCATCAGAAACACATCATAATGTTGAATTATGATGGCCGGAGTTGAGCTTGTGAACAGGGATGAGAATCTTAATGCATTTAACATTCAGGATTCTTACTTCATTGTACACAGACTACATTGTGTTTACACTCTCAAAAAACAGATGTTTTGGATCAATAAAAACAAAATTGATGCAACTATTTGCATCGATCTACTATTGAAAATAAGGTAAGTTAGAGGAACATACTGTCATTTGTAACATAAACCACACAAACGTCAACATACTGTAAGCATATTGCGTAATTGACCGTTCGCAAAGACCCGCCCCCGTTAGTAACTTTTAAATTTGGTAATTTTTTAAAGACATTTCAACAGTAAATACCGTTTTGTGTCTCTTTAATGTGTCTGACAGATCGCTCAGTTAAAGCCGCTCGTGAACCGATCATCTCTTCCTTCTAGTTCCTTTATAGCATCAAATAAACATGAATGAACATCAGAAGGAATGTTGTTTCAACCGTGGAAAGACGTCAGTACACACCGTTTCTCAAGTTTAAATCCTCCAACGTTAATCTACTAACTCTCCTGACTACTTCGTCAGACAAAAATGGCGGATTCGGCGGATGGAGGATTATGATTGGTCAGATCGCCTGTCAATCAAACGCCCTGCGAAGGGTCAATTGTGCTTGGAGTCGATTGTTTTGTTTTCATGGTTCGCTTTATTTTTCACAGATCATTGTTTTGCTTCGACATCCACTATTGCATTTCGGGGGTGTAGTAATAAAGTGAGGGGTGTGTTTGTTTGGGCTGATTTCAAATATCAACAGTGTTTCTCAGAAAACGCTTACTGTGCCTTTAAGTCGATCAACATTATTTAGTTTACACAACGGTTGCACTTTATTTTACAGTACGTGTGCTTACAGTGTACTTACCTAAGAAAGTACTGGTAATATAAGGGAACTATGGGTTAAGCTTGGGTTAGGATCAGGGTTAGTACCAAGTTATTATCCAGTTATTGTAATTACTGTAATAAGTAGTACATACAGTATATGTAAATGTGGAACAGGACTGTAAAATAAAGTGCTACCAAACATAACTCATCAAAATAATGTTTGCAACTTAAAATGATTCATTAAATAAATCAATGTGATTTTTTTAACGTTATAATTAGATCATTCTTATGGAAATGTAATAGTATTTTGTAATTATAATTTAAATCTGACTACTTTTCTAATTGTACTTTATAAATCAACATCT